CTGGTATTGTATTGGTCTTACATTTATTCGCGTTCGTTGCACTACAGAAATATTCTTGAATTGTCCTCTATTTATTTCATGTTATTGTTATATTTAGTTTTCATTTCTATGAAAATCTGGCTATTAACAGAAGATTGTGATTTGTTGAATGTTCTGTAGTTTGGACAAACACCTGAACACTGCCGTCATGCCATCGCTAGCCATCTAAATGAAATAGGTTAGCGCAAAAAACATGTCTACATGGAGACCATGCATTGACCGGCTACATCATAATGCAAAGTTGTCAAGCCACATTTTGAAGAGTTGGGTCGAGCCACAGGGCCACAACCACTGTAAAAGCCCTCATATTGCTCCATCGAATTAGCATCGGTTCCGAGCTATAAAGCAGCTTCTGTGCGACAAAAACTCAAGAACCACAGCCAGCTTAAAAATGACCTCATCAACTTCTTTGCACTCTGTCCTCATTCTTTCTGGAAGGAAGGCATTTGATCTTTTCCCATTCAAAGGTTGTGTACTGAACCAACAAAAGTGTCGAAATGTGAAAGAAATTATGGGACACCCAATATATTCAGAAAAGCCTGCTTTGATCCGACTTCGGCATAAGTAATTGATGCGTTTCTTGCATTATTAAGCTGTCATGAGGCTAGTTAAAAGCATTATTCGGCTAAAATCTCGGCAGCACTGTCTCATTTAGTGCTCATTATTTGACTTGATGGTCCACAGGTGGACGATCATTTATGCTATGTGCGTGTCCGTTGAACTATCGAGTAAAATTCAGGAAAACGTAGAAAATTCGAAGTTCATTCCATTGTATATACCGGAGAAAAGGCGAAGAACGACTGGCTAGTGTTTTGAACAGTATAATGACCTATTCCTGCATAATGAAGTCGTCCAACAGGTTTTTCCGAATTTGAAGTGAGTAATATATGTGACACCCTCTCATGGTCTTCGCCCGCCAGATCATCCGTGTTCGATAGGAGATCGACTAGTCTTGGAAATTGTAAGAAAATTAAATGTTGAAACGAGAGATCGTGAAATTGATCACAAAATCTTTTACCATTTTCTCCGCCAATTTAAGAGTTAATCCTTCAGAGGCCACTTGTTCCGAGAGTGTTAGAATAGCTCACTCTTGTCAACTAACCCATAAATTCACTAAAACATGCACTCAGATTTTATCAGTGATTTCTGTTTTTTATAGCTTTTTAACATTTCATTGAAATAAATTTAGTAAAACCTAATGAATCTCTCGCAAAGGAGCGTTCAGAATCTCTTGAACGACTACATTTTTATCCATCACTTTGGAAAATTTTCATGAGATAAGAGGCAGCTCTTCGTGCAAATTGCCGCTTACAAGATCAAATGTTTTCATCTTTGTTTCTACTCAGCAGCTTCCATTGTGGATACGAGTAACATTTATAAATGCGAATACATTCATTGACATCAATTTTAGAGTACACTAAATGTAAATGCCTAAACACGGGATTTGTTCACTTTTTAATAGGCGAATGACTGAATTCTTAGCAGAAACTTCAGAGTGACGCTGCTGTAAAATCAGTTACAGCCACTATTCCAAACATCAAAATAATATTCAATACGCAGCAGAATTTCAGCATGAAAATGTTTGTGGGAACCTCTCAGTTACTTTTTGAGTAAAGTAGAAGCACAAATCCATCACATTGTGCATTTCGATATGATTTACTGCTACACTCTGATTGTTCAACACCCATATGGTTGCTAGTCTATTGATAATGCAATGCCACAGTGAACATCGACTAAAGAAAATGTTTGTCACAATAATATCTTCGAATTCACTTCGAATTTCAGCTGACAGTGACCGTTACTGTGTGCAAATGCGAACCAAACGGACCCGACCTTAACATTCGAAGCGCTCTGTCCACAACATTTTGCCACATCGACCTTGACCAGTTAGCCATGATGATGCTCGTAGTCTATATAGAATTGTTTTTTTTTATAAAACGAAACTGTGCAAATAAGAAAGCCCTCCAAATTGTGAGCGTTCCTGAGTGGGACAAGTGTTTGCCGTTGATAGCCGTTGCAATCTCTTGACAGATCCTGGGCGGATTAACGATCTTTGGGCAAATTCCCGTACCGTGCTACCGACAATAATACAGCTGCTGTCTTTCATGTCCTCTGCAAGAAACCATAAAATCTAGGAACACCTTATTCTAACACATTAGAAAATTGAAAGAGTCAAAACATTGTTAAATCCTAATTCTCGTCTACTCCTCAATACTTGCAAACCTTCACCTATTAATACACTGATTACTATATCATTTCAAAATAAAATATGTGTAACAACGGTTTAACACATGTTCCCGGAAAGAGTAAATCTGGGTTCAAATCCCGACTGACGCAAACGTTTTTGCACACCACTCTACATCATTGAGTTCATAAAAACATCATAACACCGCAGTAGGCGGTATAATAAAATTATTTCGGAAGGATATGTGTAATATTTGGAAAGATACTCTCAATTTAAAAGAATTTGATGTTATGGCTCTATGGTAGTTTTCCTCGAACTCTGACATATTCTCTAATAAGTTTATAGAAAATATCCTTCATTGCAAAAAAAAAAAAATCAGATAAAGCTCTGTTTTTTGAATGCCCCTTATAGTTCACATTGTAATTTGCTAAACGGATGTAAACTATTTGGGAATCTCGCATTTCTTCTGCTCGCTTTGAGTTCTGACATAGCGATGGTTCGTAGGTGGTATTAACTTGAGTTGACCCAGGAGATCACAAAATCAGGTAACAGCGCTCTCCGACCTTCGCTTTCAAGAACTTCGAAGACCTAAGAAGTAAATCTTATTCACAATTTCTAAAAGTGGCTTGAAGGTATTTCCAATGAACATATGTGAAATATGGCAATTTAGGTTAGCTTTAGAGACTGAAGATCTGTGAAAAAATTGCAGCTCATCTCCTACGTCTTTGCAGAATTCACGAAAAGGAATGGAATGCCTAAATTGTAAACTCACTGTTTGCATTATAAAAGGCTGTGCAAATGGCTGCACAGCACCCTTGCTAGTTGCAATACCAGGGATTTGCGTAGAGATTATTTTGTTTTTTGTGTAAACCAAGATGACAGGTAAGTTGCTGGTCCCGCTGGCAGTGAAGGTTCTAGTGCTCGCTGCAACGAAACTTCGTAGTTTTTGTAGTGGATGGTTGTAATTGAATTATTAAGCGCTTTGAAAAATGGCCCTCCTCGTCATTATCATTCAATAACACTTTCTTCTATAACATAGCTAATACCACGTGATTGAAAAATAAACTTTATTCGCCCCATATTTCGACGTCTTTGTTTCTTCAGATGCGATAATTCAAGTCGATCGTCCACAATTGTTCGTTTTTCTTGTCGATCAGGTCGACTCCTTTTCGGTGAAACGCCGCCCGAATGGAAAACCTCACTCGGCAATGTTCACTGATATAGAATTGCTCTGATAAATAATGTTTCTCAATCGACTGTTTTAGAAATCTCGTTTGAGAACATTGATCTATTCTGAGAACTGTTTCGAGCCTTTCCAAGGTTTAGCATGTCATCGACTTATGCACATTTCGGCAATCTTTCAGAATATATCAATGCTCTTAAGTGACATTTTCAAACAGCAGATTGGAGGTGAATATCTATATAACCGTTGATAACCGCACGCCATCGATTTTGAAAAGGCTCATAAATCATTTCACCTTCTCAAGTAGTGGCATGTTGTCATATAAACCACTGCCAACGTATAACTAACGGTGGCAACTTGTATAGCAGTCATCTTGTATACGATAATATCGCTAAGTGAAATTCTTCATTCGAGCGATGTTCATTTGAAGAAAGTTTTATGTGCACAACAACGATGACGAAGACCACAACGATGGCGAACGAAAGTAGGCAATCAAATCTAATTATAGGCTCCGCGAAGACGAAGACCCCAAAACGGTAGCCCATCAAAGTTCTCTTATAAACTTCTGGTGTTACATGAAGTCACTGTATTGAAAAACTTCTTAGTTTTATCTTTCTTCTCATATAGAACTTTTTACATAGAATCAAAAACCCTGCTACTGTAGCGCAGATTGCGACAACAATTAAGCAGTGATGGAGTGCTAGGCATGCTCATTCTGATTGGAGTTCTTGACCATCTAAGAATGGGAGTATTTGTAGCCCCACAACAAATCCTACTCTTTACTTTACCCTCCAGGAATCACTCCACATCCACGGACGGCTGAGATTGAGACTAGCAACAAAATCATAAATGGACGGCTCGAAGGTCCTGCCTTGTTAGTAAGAATAGTCATTTTCCTAAGAAAGAATAAATATTGTAGACTCAACTAAGACTAATGTCTGCATCTTTTAGGTCAGATCATCGATGAGATGACAACAGATTCGGCACTCAGCACCTATATGAGGGTGACGTCACCTTGGCTGATCTGATTTTTTTTGGTTTTTTTATGTGCTTCAGAGGATCTTGGACTCGCTCAATTCAAACAAAATCTTAAAAGCGTATTTCGTAACCAATGTGCTAATACGATGCTCAAAGAACCAGTTATCGAGGTGGAAGAATCTTTGTCAAATCTCAAATGAAATTGGACTACGTGGGGGCGACAAGTTAAAAAAGAATTCCAATGAATGCGCCAGTTTCTCAAGTTGAACGGCTTTCATTCGGCTCCCGCTTTCTTATTTGTGATGTTGCAACAGTCGGCCTGCAACAGTCGACAAGGGCGCGTGAATCACAACTGTGATTCTGAGAAAAAGTCATCCAGAGGAGATATCGATTAATAAAAACGAGGCATGATTCTCATTGCAAAACTTTTTCGGCAAAAAATTTTGAAGCAGAAATTGCGTCTATTGAACTTTGATGTTCTCGTTAGCCTCTCACATTAGGCACGCTAATAAATTATATTTACCGGAGTTGTAACTGATAGCCAGTTTGACCACATCCATAGCTATTAAGCTGCATAGTTGAGGGACAGGCGTGTATTAAGATATTATCAAAAATGCACCAATGGTGATTCAGTGGTAGAGTGCTCGTCTGCCAGGTGGGCGACCCGAGTTCGATTCCCGGCCAATGCACCACAATTATAGTGGTTCTGGCCCTTTATCGCCTTTAAACGCCAAACCGATCTTAGGGAATTTGTGGCCCGTTCTTCTGCGGACACGTGATTCGGTTATTGATTTATCCAATAAACAACAGTGAACAATTCATGAGACCGTTGGTGATCTCCGGTTATACGAACAATGAATCTCTAGTAAACGAACAATCTATAAACAGGAATATTACAATAACAATCACCTGTATCACCTGTCGTCCCGTTGATCGTCGAGTGACTCGAGCGGGTACCAGCAACTCTTCCATTTTTCCCTATCGCGTGCAAGAGTAGCTCAGTGGGTCCTCCTTGCTCTAGGAATTCGCTGAGCATCATATCTTTCTTCCATCGCTTTCGTGAAGAAATCGGACCAACGGGTCAGTGGTCTTCCTTTAGAGCGCTTGACGTCCCGAGGAATCCAGTCGGTAACGGCTCTCGTCCATCGGTTGTCGTTGAAGCGCATCACGTGTCCGGCCCACCTTATTTTCGATATCCTGGCGTGTAGAACGGCGTCTCTGATTTTCGATCGTTGACGTAGGTCGGAAGTTCGGATCCTTTGTCTCATTTGCGAAATACGAGATACTCCTAGCATCGACCTTTCGACTGCGCGTTCGATAACGGCAAGTGATCTTTCATCCTGCTTACGTAGCGACCAGGTTTCTGCTGCATACGTTAGGGCAGGGATAATTGTCGAGTCGAAAAGGTGGGCACGGAGTCGGATGTTCTTTGTCCTCTTCACTACATCTTCGATGCTCTTAAACGTTCCCCAAGCCGCTCGTTTCCTCCTGCTCAACTCTGGGGCTAGGTCGTTCATCATGTTGATTTCACGACCTAGATAGATGTAACTGGAGCATTCGGAAATTGTCGTTCCGTTGAGCGTGAATGGGGCATTAGAAACCCATCCGTTCCTCATGAACATTGTTTTCGTTAGATTCAGTTGAAGACCGATCTTTCCACAGGCGTTATCGAATTGTTTCGATAACGATAACAATAACAATATTAACCAATTTATACACATTCACGATGCGGTCTCACATCTAGATTGCGTAGCGATAAACTATACCTTCTAATTGCGACAAAGGACTAAAATCCAGCAATTGCACTCGAAAGTAATGGCAAGTTCGGTTCGATGTTAATCAACTGATTGAAGCGACTAGAAGAGTCCGTAATGAGAAGCAAGAAACAAAAGACCAGCGACCACACGAGATGAAGACAACAGCAAGACAAGACGGATAGCGACGTGGAGGCACCGCCGTTGATGCTGAGTCATCGTTGCCGAACTTTCTGTAAGTGCTATAGTAACCGTGGAGTGCGATCACCTAACATGGAGCACGGATGTGTTCATGTTTCACTTGGTCTTCGTGAGTCCAGCGAGGGTAGCGTCCAGTGGGTTGTCGGAATTGATAGTCGGGAGGACTATGCACAAAGGAGGGTGTTTAAATATGGGTCTGTGCGTTTTACCCTCGGTGGTGAGTCCCACGTGCCTTGTTGTAAAGTTCCGTCACCTGGAGATCGCCCCCATGGCCACCCTCCCCTCCCTCCCCCTAGTAATGACCCCAATTTGGTGATCACTCAGTTCTCGGTACCGATGTTACAACTGACTCGACAATAGGACAACAATCTATATGTGATCACGTTACTCCTCGTATGTCTTCTCGACGAAGTATTTCGCTGTACTTACACCAGGCACGCACTAGTCGTATATCAATAACCGCTCATTGGAATAATACTGTTGTTATTGGATAAATTATCAGCTGAATCCGTTCTCCGCAGAAGAACAGGCAGCAACCTTCCTAAGACCCGCGTGGCATTTAAGGGCGAGTGAAAGGCCCAAACCATTATATTCTGCGATTTCAGATTTTCTCGAAGTACCATTCCGGTTATTTCAAATTGTAAAGTCGACACACACGCTTCTTCAGCTTCATTAAGTGATTCAAATCGACAGACACTCAAAAAGTCTTATATCTATCGAAAATGCCATAATCGTATCGAGCAATGCTTGGACTGTCGATGGGATGCGGAAGAACTTCGACGTCGATCAACTCTTGAAACCAGTCCTTAATCTGCTTAGCCGTATTTTTATCACTATCAATGCTCGCATGTGGCTCAGTGGTTAGAGGTGCTCTGCGTCGCACACGAGGTCAATGGTTCGATTTCGCGCTCATGGCTCACCAAGCCATCCATCCCCCCGGGGTCGGTAAATTGGTACCAGACTGGTCTCAGAGTTGTATGGGAGTATAAGCAGCACTGACTCGGTTCAGCGGGAGGCCAACGCGAGTCATTGTATAGGCCAAATATGCATTCAACTACCTCAAACGAAGTTAAAATTCCAAGCGAAATGATTAACGCATCTTTCAGAGATCGATCAACACCGAGAGCTCTACCCTTTACTCTTTATCAATACTCAATTTATTTAATATTAATACAATATTGAAACTATCAGTAAAAGGCGACACAAAGACGAAATGAAGCTTCCAAAAATTTTCCAAGACTTTTTGCTCAACCTAATAGTTGGAGAACTAAGAAAGAGTATCAATAAAAGGTTCAAAATAATTAACTGGAGTTGATTCTACAGTAACATCACTTTAAAGCTTCAGCTAAGAATCGACTCGTCCTCGCATCGAGAAGTGGCCAATCTGATGGGCGATTTCAAGTGAATGACGTCAAGTAAAAATCATTCGTGAATTCGTACGTTTAGGGATTCAGATCTTGAGTGCTATATGTTAGTCGAAAGCGGATCTTTTTCTTGTCAAGATATCCCTCATGTCCGCTATGGTAGTCGGTGAGCAAACATGGAAATCAAAGATTCTTTTTTTTGGCGATATCATAAAGAGCTGCCTTATGTCTTCTGGAAGATTTTCTTAATCATAATCAAGCCGTTGTTGATCAAGCAGTTTCAAATGTTTCCGCCCATACGCCCTCGAAGTTAATGGAACGCTACGAATTACGTACATATTGCATACACCAATATCTCAATACCATTGTTAAATATTTACTGGGTTTTATCAATTTTATTTCGAAAAAGTATTGAAAACTGGCAGAACAAAAAGCACTTATAAAAGTCGGATACTTGTTCCAATGAAAACGACCATTTTCAAAAAAGGGTAGTTGACGAGGTTCAAGTTATCTTAACTCTCGCGACAAATGAGCTCTATGAATCATATTTGAAGGCGCTGGAGACCCCTGTAAGAATTCAATACGATTCATTATTTTGCGTTGGCTCATTTTAACACATGGCTTTTGTTTTCTTGCAGTTTTTTAATCAGTCGATATCTTCTTGTACGTAGATTCTGTGGCGAGCGTCGGCCAGTGGGAGGGTGTCACTTCTCAAAATCTTCCCCTATGAAAAGCAGAAAAACCTGGGTTGAACGAATTCATTTCGCAGGAATGATTAATATAGCCTTCAAAAAGCAGCATCCAGCCGTTCTCGGACTCTTCTTCAGCAAGTTTAATAAAGTAATTGTGCAATTTTCAGTAGCCAGTTGTTCATTCGTGTTTCTGAGTAAACTATGTCAAAGGAATGCGATAATTCCTTACGCTTCACTGTATTTGACTTGATACGTTGAGAAACACCATATCTCACACAACAGCCACCCGTAGAACATCGGGTCTAATCATGCAGCCCTAAAGAAGACATAGATGCCAACGTGTTAGCCAAATTAGACTTGGTAGTAACCTCGTGTAGCGTAATGATAGAACGAATTAATTATTTATTCATGCCGAAGTTAACTGAAAGCAGGTTTCTTCAAATATATTGATTTGTCCCATAAATTCCTTTGCATTTCGGCACATTAGTTTGGTCAGCTGCTAATTATTCAAAGAAACCAATCATTCAGCAATACAATTTTGATCATGATCAATGATATGCAGCCATTTGCTCTGAGAGAACATTGAAATTCACAGAGACGCGGATTCAATCACTATTGCAATTATGGTCCAAATTCCAGGAAAGTGCTGCTCTACAGAATATTCGTACTTATACGTATATTATTAATGAAAAACATAATCACTGATTGACCTCCGCTAAGATGAAAAAGAAACCAATGTGGATGCATCAGAATATCAATTCACATTTGTATAGAATTTTTTTTCTTCTGTGCACCTTCAAATAGCCGGCCATTTTTTCATCCAAAGCTCTGTGACAGATCAGTGTGAAAAGCAGTACGTGGAACAGCTGTGGGCCGAGCTGGCCGCCCAAGAACAAGCCCCTACTGCTGGATTCGTTGATTTAGTAACGGTTGAAATATCAGTTCTTGCACAACACATGGTGCCAGGGAAGAATTTTGTCTTCCCCGATAATTCATGAATATGTAATCGACAAAATTCTCACTCCGTAGTAATGCAAAAATAAGGTGTCATAATAGTCAGTTCTCTTTAGTAAATCGCAGTGTACGAGTGCATAATTAGGTTGAGAAGATAGTTCCGAAGCACTTGTGAAAAACGGAACATTTACGCATGAATTCCAAACAAAATAGTAGTAACTATCCTGCAAAAAAAGGCCATCTTTTTCCACGACTTTCTGCCATCGATCCGCCGAGTTTCATGTTTGGCCGCGTTACCATTTCTCCGACTTCGATCAAAGAACTCTTGACATGATTCTTCAACTTCTTCGAGCGATCCGAAACGGTGAAACTTCAAAAAGTGTTGTATTGATTGGAAAAGGTCAGAGTTGGTTGAAGTGCAATCTGGACTGTAGGCGGAATGCGGCATAACCTCGGCAGTGTTCTGTTCATTAGACTTGTCTTTGGTCTTTTCGGCAATGTGCGGTCTGGCACTGCCTTGCTGCATCAAAACGTGCTTTCGGTTGACCAGAGCCGGTTACTTCTCCTTAAAACTTGTTGTAGACTCGTGACTGCTGAGATTAGAACTCGGCGTTGATGGACTTGTCGTTTCAAACCAACCCAAATTGCAGAACTCCGTCAAAATTCTACCATACACAGATCATGACCTTCTAATGAAATCGCTTGCGCTTTGCCTTATGCTTGT